TTGCATGGCGGTCTCCAGCGCCATCCTGATAACCTGTCCCAACGCGTAACGCACGCGGCAAATCTCCCTCTCCCTGTTCTTGCTTAGGCAAAAGCCGCCGAAGGGTGTATCGCGCGCGGCAGTGGTCCTATAAGGAAATTGATAACCTGTCCCAATGCTCTTCCTCCCCCTGTTTTTGCTTAGGCAAAAGCCGCCGAAGGGTGTGTCGCGCGCGGTTCATGATTTTTACCTGCTGCCATGTACCTACCGTAGCTCTGCGAAAAGGTCTCAAAACGCAACGAGAGTGTTTAGACGTAGTCAGAAGGTCGAATCTCTCTAGACCGAGTTTCAGCCAAAACTGAGATTTCGCCCTTCTGCAGTATACCTACCATAACCAGTGAAAACGCCTCAAAATGCCGAAGAATTATGATATTCGTAATCAGCATGTCAATTAGCCCCCCTCAAAGTTTCAGCGAAATCCATGATTTTAGCTTCTTATGTGTACCCAACGTAAACCCAGAAAATGGCGCTATCGCGCGAAATGGCTGCGATATTCGTCATTAGCGGCTTTAATATCCCCATGTACCGACTTTGAGCAAGATCCATCGCAAAAACATTTTGGGGCCGGATAGCCGAATATCGCCATCAATTTTCAAAATCATTCTTACTTTTACCGGTTTTATTGCTTTTTTTTGCAAAGTTTGAGCTACGGGGCTGGGGGTTGTTGAGGGAGGAAGGTGGGCGTGCTATTTACTAACACAGCGGGATTAGGGAATTGCATGTAGAAGTGGGCACAATGAAAGGTTCTACAGGGATAGGATAAAACCTTAATCATAGCATTGACAGGGCAACAGCTAGTTTCCAATATATCAAAACATGCTCCGTGCCGGGCTTCGTTGAATGTGGCTTTAATCAGAATTCGTCCACACTAAAGCGGGAATGGCCACGCGACGGTGTTGTCACCTAAATTGGGCGACTGTCACATAGCTCGCGCGACCGTTGCATGACTTACTCGACTGTCTCGCATGGCTAACGCTACGGTCGCGTGTGTCTACTTCGATTCGCGTCTTTTCTTTTGAAAAAATGTGAGCGGTTTTGTACAATATTACATCTAATCTTCAATTAATTAATTACTTTTAACGCCTTCGAGCTACAGGGTATAGTCAGATCCTACTACTTGTATTTGTATAAATCATTCAAAATATTCGACTATTGAAATTCGAATAGTCGTATATTCGAGAAAGTGAATTTTATGGATTAGTTGAATGGTCGAATAAGTAGAAGACTGTATTCAACTATTCATTAATTTGCACAATTGAATAATTGGCTTATTTGAATGAATACCTATGCAATATTTGGATTAGCCTTTGTTTATGACCGGCCCAAATTGGTACAAGGAATCATCAAATTTGAGTGAAACTTTGCACACATAAATCGGGGCGGGGTGTCACTGAACTTTTTCACCCAAAACCTAAAACAAAACCGGAGTGGCGCTTCATCAATTTTTTTGATTTTTTCGTATCTCAAAGGCACCGTCCACCCTAAGTTGAGGGTCTTGACTTTTGGCAGCTTGCGATAGTAAAGTTTCCTATCAAGCCAATGCCCAAGTCGCGGCACAGAATTTCGCTTCGGAAGCGAGAAAATCGATCCGAAATAACAAAGGTGCACGAGGACCCCCAGACGGCACCGCCCTCCCCATCCATGCCCGCCCATCTGTGCGCGCCCATCCAATCACCGCTCCGTAAAGACGGCCTGTGGCTCCGGAACAGGAATTGTTGGGGTTTTCGCGAATTCTCGACTTCATCGGAATCAGGGACATGAGAAGGCCCTGAAACGACAAAAACATGAAAGTCGAGAATCTGGGTGGACGATGCCTTCAAGCTCTGTAGAGCTGAAAATCGGCAGAAGGGTTAGCTAACAAGGGAATGGTCAGAATTCGAAGCGGCTAATCCCAATCCTAATTCGTTTACGGTTGAAAACTCCATGGAAGACTGGTTAAGTATCTGCCTTCGTTATCTGCTTACCGGTCTCCTACACAAAGTTATGACCCTCGATTCCACCGTTGGGCCGCCGCTCATTATAAGTACTTGTCGCTTATTTAAAACATAGGTGCGATAAGGTGAGAATGACTCCTCCAGGGTGAAGGGAGTCACAGTGGTTGCAGCCCCCTCCAGGGTGAAGGGTGTTTCACTTGATCGAGAAATTGTAGAATGTCGACCGAGGGGGGGGGGGGGAGGGGAAAGGAAGGGGAGTGATGGTGTTCTGTCATCATTCTCCCTAATCATTTATCATCAATTCTCTACCATCATTTGCTGTTTTTTTGTGAAAATTGAACTAGGATTGGAAATCCTACAAAAGCTGTTTTCGAAAATACTATAGAGTAGAAGATGTGTATGCAAGAACATCTGTTTCGAAAACGAGGTAGACAATTTTTTAGCATTCACAAATTTTTGAGAGTAAAAATTTACAACTGCTGTAGACGAACAGCAACGTCATTGTTTTCAAAACCATCTTTTCCTTCGCTTTCAGGAATTATGCAGTTTGTCTGGCAGTTATTTGGAATTATTTCAAAAAAGTGCCTGGTGAAGTCGTGGGTATGATTTCCAAATATTTACGAACCTTTTAGATTAAAAAAAGCTACAACTTCTGTGGATCAAGATCTTATACGCCGAGATGTAATAACGGAACCCTTGTTCTCCTTTATTCGAGAATATATAGTTTGCCTGGAGTCTTCGGAAAAAGTGCCTGGTGAAGGGTGTGGGTTGTGATTTCTGGATATTTTCGAGTTTTTAACATAAAAAATTCATAACTCTTGTAAATGAACAGATACTACATAAATGTGGACACCATTGGGATCATCTCGCCTTCCGCTTTCAGAAAATATATGGTATGTCCGAGATTTATTCAAAAAAGTGCCTGGGTGAAGGGTGTGCTTAGTGATTTTTGAAGATTTTTAAGTTTTTAACATAAAAAAATTCATAACTTTTGTAGATGAACATCTTGTACGCTTAGACAGTCACCGTCGGAACCGCCTCGTTCTCCGCTTTCAGAAAATATATACATTAACTGGAGTCCGTTCAACAAAGTGCCGGGTGAAGGGTGAGTGAGACTTTCATAATGGGAGTGCTCAAGTGGAGGCTTTTTTACCATTGTGAAAAGACGTCTACTTGAGCACTCCCATCATAAAAGTCTCACCCACCCTTCACCGGGCACTTTTTTCAACGTACCCCAGGCAAAGTATATATATTCTGAAAGCGGAGGACGAGACGGTTCCAATAGTGGCCATTTCCATGTACTATCTGTTCATCTGCAAAGGTTATGAATTTTTTTATGTTGAAAACTCGAAAATATTCAAAAATCACAACGCACACCTTTCACCAAGGCACTTTTCTGAACGGATCTCAGACATGCTATATATTTTCTGAAAGCGAAGGACGAGGCGGCTTCGAAGGTAACCGTTTCCGTGTACCAGCTGTTTATCAAAATTCATGAATTTTTTATGTTGAAAACTCGTAAGTGTCCAGAAATCACTAGGCACACCTTTCACTAGGTAGTTCTATGAACGGACTCTCAAACTATTTATTTTCTGAAACCAGAGGGGAACGTTGTTCCACGGAATTTTCCTCGCTGAGTTGCTGTGCAACTACAGAAGCTGTTATTTTTTTTCCTTCTGGAAGTTCGTGAATCCCTACAAATCTTCTTCCTCCTTTCCGATACACAAACGCTTTGCCTCACCTCACTGTTAATTTCTTCTCGGCTTTTGGTGAAGGGGGTCACCTTAGTCCGGTTCAGGGGTGAAGAGGGGGTGAGCAAATTCTCACACTATCGCACCTATGATTTGCAATCCAAGGTGGACGCAGGGTGCAGTGGTAAGTGTGTAGAGACTTACGACCAGGGTCGAGCAGGAGATGTGGCAGACGAACGTTGCATACGACCCCGTCTCCCCCCCCCCCCCCGACATTTTTGTTTGCTTCCGTAGACATGGCATAAAGGCTCTACCAAGCATAAACAATTATATATTCATAATTATCATGTCAAATAACCTCTGTGGGTCAAGTTCCAGCGAATTCTGAAGGTTTACAATGTTAAGTCAATCAGGTGAAGTCGCCATTTTCATACATGGTTTACTATATTTCAAAAGTGAACTAACTACCTCTTTTTGTACTCATTACAAAGCAGTACTTAATGCTGGGTGTGGTGCAAGAGAAACGATAGCTGGCAATAAGGGGCGCGCGGCGGAGGGGTCTGTCAATAGCCTATGCACGCTAGGCGCCGCCCATCCACGGCGGACGAGTTTACAATCAACTACAGTAGCTCGTACGAATCGCATTCGTCCACGTTATCTTTTCGAATCGCATTCGTCCACGTTATTCTAGAGAATCATTAATCAATTGGATCATAGTAATTCTATGATTATCTGATGCTTTGGATCTGGTTGATTTATGGAGATAGTCATGTCATGTGTGAAACATGAATTCTGCCATAATGTGCCAGAAGAAGCACTCTTAACTCCTTCTACAATGAATTATTTCCTACATTCTTGATAAATTGTTTATTACATTGTAATGAATGTTTACTACAAATGCATACTTACTGATATTGTAAAATAAAACTATACAAGAGTAGTCCTATGCTATGATAAAATAAATATGGAGAGAAACAATCAATCACATATAAGAAGCAAGATTAAAGAGAAAGAATGAAGGAAGAATAAGGAAGAATAAATCAGATAAGAAAATGATTGCTGCTGCGATGTACTATTGAAGACAAGGACTTAACTGATTGAGTCATGATGGTGTTATCTGGGTCATATTCAACAATTTGGCCTAGTTTATGTGACCTACGGGAGCAGTATGCATCTTTATTCTGTTAAATGGCCCTAGGGAAACAGAGGTCTTTGACAGTGATAAGCACGTCAACATAAAGAACCGGCAAATGAGTAGGCCGCACCAAAATACCGGAATGCTACCCTTTCAACTGAATTTATTGACTTATGCAGCCTTGCTGCAGCAGCAGCAAACTTCACGGATTCTTCAGAATTATATCAATGGTAAGTATGGAACCATACAAATCTCGGTTTACATTACATAGTAGATGCACGACCTGACGCTCCATCAGCTCCACCGCAGTCCTCAAGAAGGGAAGAGCAGCAGCAATCCAGAAGCGAAGAAGAGTCCCAGTCATCGAGAAGACAAGAAGAATCGCGGCGACCGAGAAGGCAACCTCATCGACGTTGTGGATTCAACTTAGAAGCGCCAAAGTTCCCTACACAAGTAGATCGAAGTCAACAAGGAAAACACCCTAGAATGCAAGTACCCCCTTATGTCAAGGCTGCTTGAAGAACTGAAGAGTTGCAATACTAACGCTAAAGGAGACTTTCTCAATATGGAAAGAGTGAGTTGCATTTGCAGCTACCCAGCGAAACACTGAGCAATGTTTCAGCGACCCACGGATGGAAGACGGTTAAGGCGGAGGGATTTGAGAAGGCGTGAGAAGATACTCAAGATGATGGCGGCGTACAGAAGCAGATTCGAAAGGAGAAACACAATCAGAACGAGCACAAACCAGATCATGAAGTACTGCAGAAAGATGGCAACGTTTGTAACAAGCAAAACCAATTGAACAAACAGTATAGCAAAGATCATCTTTCTGCAGTAATTCATAAACATGATGTTGTTGTCACTCTTGTATATAATTCCTATTACTCAATATTTTTGATTTGCGCAAGCACTTTTCTTAATAAAAAGTATTCATTAACAACAACATCACTATACATAAGCATAGAAATACAAACAAACAAAAAAAAACAACCGTTTCGTCCCTACCCTTAGACGGTTACGATGTAAGGATAAGTAACAGCCCTCCCCGGAACTCATCAGTAAGGAGGGAGGGCTATAGAAATAAGAAATCATAAATAACAACAAAAACGAAACATACATGCAAAAAAATAAACACATCAAAAGAACTCACCATATCACTGAATGCTGGTGTCGGTCAGAGATAGTTCCTAAATGCAGAATAATAACTCTACATACACGAATTATATCAGATAATAATGAAAAAAGAACATAAGGAACAAAAAGAAATGACAATGAACAATAACAAACAAAAGAACAGCAATTACTCACCATTGTGGCAGGATTGGAGGCTGTTGGTGGATATCGATCCTAAAAATCAACAATATTGGCGTGATGTGAACAAAAGACGATATCGCACACATATTCACGAACAACACGTCAAAAACCTACGCAAAAGAATCAAATTCTATTATAAAGGTAGAAAACATGTAAGGGAAGACAATTACGATGAAGAACATAAGAAAAAACAAAAAAACACAGCAAATATGAGAAAATAGTAAAATACTATGAATGTGGGCGTTGAATGAGACTGAAGTAGGCCCGCTCATTTTCGAAAATCTTCATAGCAGCGTCCTTTAACACACGCAACGCTCAACCCATGCGTGCGTACGGGTTCTCGCGTGTGGGCGGGGCTTCGTGCGCGCTGTGGCGGCTGGCAACTACCAGCTGGCGCGGGCTATCGTTTCTCTTGCCCGCCACCCCTTAATGCTCGTCTCTATCATAAATCGTGCTTCAGATAATCAACAAACTATGGAATTAGGAGCCAGCGAAAATCTTGTAAAAATCGCGAAAATAAAATTTCATTTTCCGCTCACAGTGGTTGCGCTTCCAGCAAGTATTGCGCAAAGAAGAGGAGACGAATTCAGCTCTAATCATTTTCACAAAGACTACGAGATTTTAGCTATCGAACTATATACAATTTGTTCACTAATACTCTCTGAAGGTAAGTTGATGGGGTGTGGTAAAACCCCAGAAGTGTGGCCGCCACACCTTCCAGGGTTTGTGCCAACCCCATTAACTTATCTTCAAAACATTCAAATGTTCGTGGTCTTATATCATTGCTACTGCTTACCCTTCTTCTTTATACAGCAGAAATCTTATATATAAAGCTGAATGTCTGTCTGTCTGTATGTCTGTCTGTACGTATGTGCGGAATAGAAATTTTTATTTCTAAACCGATTTGGACCAAACTTGGCACACATATACTTCGGGGCAGGGAGCGTGTCATAGGCTACTTTTCGTTATCGATCGATATCGATTTTATCGATTTTTTGCAAAATTTGAGCTACGGGGCTGGGAGTTGGCACAGGGGGGTAATCGAGCATGCTGATTACGAATATGTTAATGACAGGGCCGGGCGGAGCCGGGTTTGCCAGCTAGTTGCATATAAATTCGTTGCTTCTTAAGAAAGATATAATCGTTTTTCCATGCCTATGCGAATGGGAAATGCTGCAAAGATACTGAGTTATGTAACATGCTATTATAATCTACGCTACTATGTAGATCGCGAGAGAAGGCGCCAAGAATAAATATGTTCGATAGTCTAAGTCTCGTAATTTACACTAAAGTGATTTGAGGGTGATTGGTCTTCTCTGTTCTGAGATATTGAAAGCGAAAAATGGAACAAACGAGATTCTGGCTTACTCTTGATGTCGTAAATTGTAGACGTTTGAGGTAGGATTTCTAAAGGAAGCAAAGGAGTGGTAGTTCTTTGTACTAAGTGCAGAAAGAAGTAGTTAACTTACCTTGAAATAAAGTTAACATGATCGAAATTGACCAACTCACTTAACTCACCTTGAAACAAAAATAACGTAATCGAAGATGACCATCTCACTTAAGTGGCCTTATTTGGATACCTCAGAATTCGCTGAAATTTGGTCCACAGGGGTTGATTGACATGCTATTTACGAAAACGATGATCTTATTCTTTTATAGATCTTTCGTTGTGCTTACTGACGTATACAGTATTTTGCATGATGGGCCTAACTGACAATGTTAACGAATATCATGTTATCGCTAACGTCGAAAACACCATGATAACAACCCCCTCTCCTGACCCTTTGATACGACCCCCTGGGTGTGGCATGCCACACCCCGAGCTTGACCTTGAGGACGACGCCTCGGTATTTGCGAGTTCGATTCCTTCTGCTTGCTACTTTTCAGCAACCCATCCTCCCCAAATTCTGTCTAGTTAGCACGAAGTCTTTAATACGTTAAAGAGGTAGTTCAGCATCTAAAACTTCGAAAACTGTACTTTTTGAATTTTGAGAGTACAAATGGATTCGGATAGACACTGTGAGCAATTATGGAAGGCGATAACGTAATGCTGAAAGCATAGGAGAGATTCGCAGTAGGCATATCGTATAAAATGTTCTTCATCATAGTTCTGTGAGTCACGAAGTCCTATGAGGTCGAGTGGAAGGGAAAGACGGTCAAGATGCGCGATTTCTCCGGCTGTCACCAACTTAAAAATCCAGTTTACTGCCATACGAATCTTCAAAAATTACCGGATAAAGTGCATTAGCTTACTGTCTGTCTGAGGTCACCACTTGCTGAGTTTCATGGTTTTTGCTATAAATCGGACTGAAATATGACGAATTTGTTTCGAAATGCATTTTCATAAGTTTTTGACCTTCAAAATAGCTGTTTTGAATTTCTTCTAGAGTATCAAAATTGAACAGTTCATGCAACTGTTTAATATATCTTCCTCTAAATTTCATATACTTTTAGAAAGCCGCAGAACACTTATTTGTGCTATTTGGTGTCCAGCTGGCGACAAAAATCGCGCCTCTTGACATACACCCAGTGGAAAGCAGTATTGAAAGGGAGTGTGGAAGGATTCTGGATGTGCGTCAAGGTACTTTGAGGAGTACCAGGAATAGGTGAGAAGTTTCTTAAACGTGGAGCACAGACTTGTGCATGTACTCAGATAATCGCCGGGGGCAGGCGGTCCGCAAACTCGCGCTTTTCTGCAAGCGGTCAACAGAATTTTGGGGCGTGACTAGAGTTGCGATAGCGGGAGCCGATTCTCCCCCTGCCTTCACTTTTGAGCTGGTACAGGGTGACCACCTTCACTTTTGAAATAAAATTTTTTTCGCTGGACGATAAAGAAGGAAAATAAGCAAAACAAACGCAAAAAAAATTTTTGAAAGCATATATTTATGTATACGGCGGCATATATAATATATTTGAAATAAACGTGCTCAGTAAATGGTGTATTTGGAAGTAAAACTTAGCGAAACTGTACAGATTTTATTAAGCAAATTTTGTTATAACGTACAGCGAAGAAAGTAGATCGGTCCAGGCAGTAACGGCCGAGAACCAGAATTTTTAATAATCAAATAGTGAAAAATCATGCAAAGTTTCCACTGTTATAAATCTGTTGTTTGAAGATGTCAGCAGTTGCGACTTCATAGTTTTCAAAGAGTAAATGGTGCTCTTTCAGCTAGTTAAAGAATCGAGTGGATTTGAGAGACAGTCGTGGAAAACCAGAATTCTAAAAATTTACGCCATTTTTGCGTGTTTTTTGACAGTTGACAGTTAAACTCATATAAATCTTGAATGTGAAAGTGTGTGATGTTGCGACTTCATAGGTTTTATAGAATAAGGTTTGCCTTATCAGAATGTATCTTAGCCGTTCCGATCCATTGAAACACCTCCGAGATCCAGAGTCTTGAAAAAACAGGTAAAAAAGCGCTTTTTGAATTTCAACAGCTCATAACTTCTTCAGAACTGCATAAATCATGTTGCGACTTCATAGATTAGATTCTTCTCGTCAAGAGCTTTCAGATGATATATAATATGTGGGGGTTTAGAGCCTCCTACGAATTATGCCCGTGGGGGGAGCCTTTTCATACCAAAGTCAAGTCTCCCCCCTCCAATACATTAAAGTGGGCTAGGGGGAGACTTTGGTATGAAAAGGCTCCCTCCACGGGCATAATTCGTAGGAGGCTTTAAATCCCCACATATTATGTATCATCTGAAAGCTTTTGATGAGAGGAATCTGAGCTGTTGAGATTCAAAAAGCGCTTTTTTACCTGTTTTTTCAAGACTCTGGATCTCGGAGGTGTTTCAATGGATCGGAACGGCTAAGATACATTCTGATAAGGCAAACCTTATTCTATAAAACCTATGAAGTCGCAACATCACACACTTTCACATTCAAGATTTATATGAGTTTAACTGCCAACTGCCAAAAAACACGCAAAAATGGCGTAAATTTTTAAAATTCTGGTTTCCAACAACTGTCTCTCAAATCCACTCGATTCTTTCACTAGCTGAAAGAGCACCATTTACTCTTTAGAACCCATGAAGTCGCAACTGCTGACATCTTCAAACAACAGATTTATAACAGTGAAAATTTCGCGTGATTTTTCACTATTTAAATATTCAAAATTCTGGTTCTCGGCCGTTACTGCCTAGATCGACCTACTTCCTTCGCAGTATGTTATGACAAAATTTAGTTAATAAAATCCGTACAGTCCAACAAACTTTTACTTCCAATTACACCATTTACTAAACACGTCTATTTAAAATTTTTATAAATAAAATTTATAAATATTTTTAATATGCATCGTATCTGTGGCCCTAAAGAAAGCCGCTGGGCCATAGTTCGACCTAGAAAGATAGCTCTGTTCGACCGTTCTACCCCCCCCCCCCCCCCCGTCGACGTTTTTGGGAGGTGAGTGTCCGACACTACCACCTTCACTTTTGGCCGGCCAGTGGTAGCTGGGATCACCTTCACTTTCGGTGGGCTCGGCTCCCCCCATCGCACCTCTGGGCGTGACCAAACCTTCAGCTGGCGGCACTTCCTTTACGGTCGCATAATCTGCCAGCGGGCAGCAATACAGTATTTTATGCAAGCGCTCGGCAAATTATTTCTTTCAGCGAGCGCTGGCCAATTTCAGCAAGCGCTCAGACTCTTTTCAAGCAGTTTCGGGCATACGCCGAGCACAGGTAAGACTCTATGTGGCAGAGGTGTCACCGTTGGTTTAGTTACTCAAGTTTGAGGTACTTTCTCCCAGCGGAAAGTATCTGGGGGCTGCGCGGTCCTCCACAAAGGACTGTGCGGCCCTCGAAAATTTTGCATACTCTCGCGAAAGTCCGCGAGAATGCGGCCACTGCGCCGCAACTAATTTATAAGGAAGCCGCGATCGTTCTTCAAGCATTCGTCTAAAATCTCGCTAAAATTTTTCCAAATGTCTGCAAGCGGACCGCAAGAAATCAGCGAACTATTTTTCCGGTGCCCGCCCGCCCATAAATCGCATGGCCGCCTGCGATCGGCGATTATCTGAGTACGAGCGAAAG